TCATTGTTCTTCTCCTTCTCCTTCCTCAGCCTGATGCGCCAAGAGCGGCGAGGCGGTAGAGGCAGCTGTGGGATGTAGTCTTCTACCACAATTGGCATGGTCATGTCGCCCAGCTGTGGGATCGCCGGTTCCACCACCGGTGCGTGGTAATTGTTAGGCACCACCACCATTGCGAGGCCACCTTCAGGCAGGACGGGCACGACCATCGCTAGGTCATCCTCATCCACCACCATCTCTTGCCCATGGTCAGTCACCACCATCTCTTGCCCATGGTCAGCCACCACCATCTCTTGCCCTTGGTCAGCCACCACCAGCGCTAGGTCATCCTCAGCCTGATGCCCATCGTCATCCTGCAGCTCCTCATCCCCACTCTGCTCCTCTTCTCCCCCACTCCAGTCCGGATCATCCTTCTTGTTGTCTTTGCTGCTACCAGAATCGCTGCTGCTTTCGCTAAAGCCAGAACCGCTGTTGCTTTTGCTATAGCCATAATCGCTGCTGCTTTGGCTGTAGCCAGTGTCGCTGCTGCTGCTCCCATTGCCTGTCCAAATGCAACAATGACTGTTAACAATCGATGTGAGACAAAGCCAAATGTAGAGGAATAAGAAGAGGCAGAACGTACTAGCATCATCATCGTCAGCGTAGCGCATGCGACACATAGTCGCGCTGAACACCTTCACGATGAGCATGGTGGCGGCGGCGGCGTACCTGAAAAGAAGGAAGTACCCCAGCCGCATGTCGTAGGCACGGTAGAACTTCTCCCACCCACGATACAAGTACATGTGGCCCTCCTTGATCACCAACTCCACATCCCACAGCCTGCGTAACCCGTTGTCTGCCTGTCGCGGCTTCACATTATTTGGCGGATCTTCACCCAGCATGTTCACAAAACTGTCAGGCAGCCTCTGCAGTTTGGGACAATGAGTGATGTAGCAAACAACAAATATCATAATGAGATGGGTGAAGGGGAGATCTCTCGTTTTATATACCTGCGTCATGGATGATACTGAAGTCCCAAGTATGATACTGAAGAACTTCGAAGCATCCAACTCGTACTGCGGTGTGGCAGAGCGGCGGTGGCTGCTTCCCCCCATCTCTGATAAGCAGCAGAAGAGACCAATTAATACCCTTACAACAGATCATAAAACATGCATGAAAATAACCACTCTATATCAAGTTTATCCAAGCAAAATCTCTCATTGTGAAAGCAGTGGGCAAAGTAACGGAGAGTAAGCTGGACAACAAGCACACTTGTTTAGCTGCCACGGAATTCAACATATGATTTCATTTTCAATGTCGAGTACCTTTCGTGGCAGATCTCGGCAAAAGCTGCCCACCGTCACAGGGCAGCAGCTGCAAGCGGCCCTGCCACATGGCTCTTATTTGCCGGGTGCCTTCTACAGGACTCTCGGCATACTGTGCATAAGCCAAGTTTCTTTATGTTTGCCAAGTATGTAACCGGCGGGGCTCGGCGCAGCTTCTCATGTGTCGTGGCCTACTGTGTACGGAGACCCGTACTCGGCTTAGATGACTTTTGCCTTGATCCCATGTTCTCATACTCGGGAAAGACAAAAAAAATTGAAACGGAGATTTTTCCAGTAGTGAGAATGTAAGCATGCATGAAAGGAGTGGGGACGCATATGCATGTAACCAAATCTGCTACTACTGCTGCTGCATGGTAGGAGTAGATATCTCCGTATGGCTGATGCATGCACGAGATATCACGTGCATGGTAGATATCTCCGTATCGTAGATGCTTAGGAAACAGCAGTACAACACACATAAAATGCCCGGTTTTTCTCAAAAAAAAACATAAAATGCCCGTATACGTTATATTGGGCCCAAATGAGAATAACCTGGAAAACAAGCAAATAATCCGAGCCGACTCCAACTACCATCGTCGTGCGTATCCGTTTCCAAAACCAAACCCGATTCCAGATCGAGATCCTACAGGCTTACCGAAACCCCCAGGCTTACATCTGCTAATCTCCTGGACGTACGTGCACCCTAGCCAGCGCCGGTGAAAGCGCGGACGTACACAATGCACTCTCCGACCATGTCCGACGCGTTCTTAAGCGCCGCCGAGACCGCGCTCGCCGCCTTCCGTGGCCGCGGTCGCCGCAGCGGCCCGCTAAACCGCGGCACACGCTTCAAGAGGCTCACGTTCAGGCTAGACCAGGATGCCTACCGCCGCGCCAAACCCTACTGGATATCCAAGGACGACGACTTCAACAACGACCAGGAGCCCGACGGCGACAGGGTCGACGGCCTCGCCCTCGCCCACCCCGCCGCGTCCCAACTCGAAGTGCTCCACCTCGAGTGCCGGAGTTACGGATACCAACACCGCCCGCGGCTCGAGTCCCTGCCGTGCGCCGCCACGCTCCGCCTGCTGGAGCTCACCCACTGCAAGCTTGACCCGCCGTCGGCATGGCCGGCGCGGTCCGCGGTCCTGGCCCTCCCACGCCTGACCACTCTGCAGCTGCGCGACTGCGTCCTCTCTGAGGGGTACCTCCAGGTCGTGCTTCACGCCGCTCCGGCGCTCACAAGGCTCGTGCTGGTGAACGTTAGACGCAAGACGACGGACAACGCGGATCCCGACGACAGTTTCGGGCGGCCCTTCCGTCTCCGGTGCCCGCCGCTCACTGCTTTGGAGCTCGACACCAGCTGCCTCTACTACAGCGACTCCGGCGAGGAGCTCAAGGCTCTGGCCAACAGCGGCATCGAGCTCGACATGTCGAATCTGCGCTCCTTCTGCTACCGGGGATCCTACATCAAGCTCTCGCTCACATCGCCCGCACCAGGACTCGCGCGGGTCGAACTCGATATCTCCCGCTATGGCCAAGGGCACGAGCCCCTGTCACGCATGCTCACAAGCTTCTCCACCACGAGGGTCCTGAAGCTGCGCCTGGGCTACATCGAGGACATCGTCGCCGGCGAGGAGGAAGAAGGTGGCCCCATCCTCCTTCCCACGTTCCCAAACCTGGAGCTCCTCGAAGTAGACGGAGGCTACCAGTACAAGCACAACGACACGGCTGCATTGGCAATGGCGAGGCTGCTCGGCTCATGCCCGGTGATGTCCGAGCTTTGGCTTAGGCTGAACATGAACTGGGACACGCGCTACAAGGCGTGGGAGAAAGATCCAGCTGGAGCGTCCTTCGCCTCGACCGTGGATCGATTCAACAAACTCGCCGCCTCCATGGCTTGGTCTCCGTGCAAGGTGGCGACAGCGTCGGAGATACCACCCACATCTCAGAGCTCCCCGCCTTGAGCGGCTGCGCGCTCAGCTGCTTGCGAAAGGTGACGCTTAAGTTCAACTCGCCAGAGGAGCTCAACTGCTTGGAGGTCCAGCTCGCCAAGTTCCTCATGGAGAAAGCCATGGCTCTCGAGGAGATGCACGTCGACCACGGGAAGCAGTTCTGGGCAGACCACCTCTGCAACAACGTTGCAAGATGGAGAGTGGATTCGTTCCGGAGGAAGAACCTCCCAGACACAGGAGTCTTTCGGGTCACAAGTCACAGTTAGGTAGGCTACCATGTGCCGAAATGTGCCTAAGAAAGTAAGCGGATTAGCTAAGCTCGAGCTCAAATAAATAATTGAATTTAGAAATTTTGAAAAAAAAATCAAAACATCTGATTTTTTTAGCAAATATTGACCTATGTTTTGATTGCTTGTAAATTATCATTATGAAACGACATTCATGGAAGATGTGGCAAAAAAATGATGCTCCAAAAAAGTTAATTTCAAAAGCATTTTGGAGTGCTGTTTTTTTTAACACTGTTTTCACGAATGTCGTTCCACCATGAATCTCTCTTAAATACCAAATGATACTCAACTTGAGGTATAATGATTCAATGCTAGCAAGGGTAAATAACCAATCCTCCCTTCTATCATCTCCTTCATCCTCTCTGTGCTCCATGCTTTTCCACTGCCCATTCCTACGCCAATAATAAATTCAAATTATCTTAGAATGTCAGCATTACGAAAAGTTGAAATCCCACCCAAGTAAATTTCAGCTCAAACCATGACCTTACCATTTGGCACGACGGGTCATCTAGTCACCATAAAACGAAAAAGAAATTAAGAATTACAATTTTTTCTACAGATGCAGGGCCGACCTTTGACTCAATTTCAACAGTTTAAGTAGGTATATAAAGACATGGTCGATCGTCATCACTCCTGGACGCACAAAAAACGTACTATTGGACACCATTATGAGAATCTGGCGGGTCTCCATCTATCTGATAACAGAGGTTTCAACCACGAGCCACCAGATATCATTTATATTTATCAGATACAAAACAACTTATGAGCACAAACACAGCTGCACTGTACAAGAGCTGAGCTGATAGCATACAAGATCAACAAAGATTTTACAAAAAAGGAAACACGGCAGACGATTCCAATCAAGTGGATGCTCTTCAGGTCAGATTTCGAAGAGAAATTGTCCACAGAAGATCCGCATCTGACTGCACAGTTACTTTATCTGAATCCACGATGTTGGATGTGCTTATCATGCTCCCAAATCTCATCTCTGCATCACCTGGAAGCACAAAAGGTTTGCACAAAATTAGCCCATGCTAGGAGTAGCAAGGCCATCGCATTTGAAATGGAATGGAAAACCACATTGCTTTCTTCTAAATATAAGCCCTTTTAGAGGTTTCAATACGAACTACATACAGATGTATATAGACATATTTTAGAATGTGATTTCACTCATTTTGCTCCGTATGTAGCCCATATTGGAATCTCTAAAAAGGCTTATATTAGGAACAGAGGGAGTATATATGTTAATGATGGCAAAAAAAGGGTTTAACTTGCAATCACGCTATATTCATTTTTGATCAAAAGGATCCACCTGTCCACTTCTTTAATTTGACAGGGTTTATATGTTTTCGGTCCAGCCATTAATTTTACTGGCAGTTGCTTCAATGATTTCATTGGAAAATAGGGTAATCTTAAGCATCAAAGAAGGGTCTCATTTAGCCCGCATACAAAAACACGGACCACATTCACCTACTGCACATCACTTGTGCAAATTAGTGCTAGAAAGGTTGAAAGGCAAGACCAAAAGAAAACCATAGTGGTAACACATACTCCCTCCATTCACAAATATAAGATGTTTTGATTATTTCAATATGGACTACATACGGACTGAAATGAGTGAACAAACACACTAAAATGTGTCTATATACATCTTGACAAAAAAGGTTAGAACATCTTATATTTGTGAACGGAGGTAGTAGTTTGAAACTCACATGCATATAGCATCAAATGTATACTAGGGATATACTAGGTGGAAGATGTGGTCGACAGTGATAGAACCTCTGTTTGGAGAGACTTTATCCCACACTCAGCATTCCCTAGGATGATATTGTGCACAAAGTTGGTACACTAGTAGACTTGAATATTGGTAGCTCCCCATTAGTACACACAGCTACAGCATGTCGAACCTGGCAGACACTGGCTGCAAGGCTCGACCTGATTACACTTTTGCTGTTAATGGGCAGAGACACAGTAGTGCAGCCTGAATGGCATGGGTCATCCAGCCAGACAAACTACATTACGTATGAGATACAACTGAGCCCGGCCCATGTTCAGCAGGCCCTATGGATCGAAGCCAATGGACAAACTCATCCTATTTATCAAACCAAGGAAACGCATGAAGAACCACTAGGTGCTAGGCCCAACCAATACCTCAAGCCACACAAATGAGCCCAATTAGAAATTTCGCTGGACAATTTTTTAGTGCATATAGTCAAACTCTCAAACCGCAAGACAACTGGTAAAACAAGCAGAAGAAATTTACTCAGGTTCCACTTGAGGCCAGTGGTTGTAGTGCTTGTAGATGGTGCTCCAATAGGAAAAATTCCACAATGCGGTCCTTCTACAGACGACTCAATATATATCTCATGGTGATGCGTTTTGGGAAGAAGTTGGATCAAGCAATCATCTGACAGAAGGACAATTCGCATGTCCGAGAACACATAGAGAACATTGATATTTGCAGCCTCATGATCAAACCTTCCACCAAGTGCTCCAGTAACAAGAATACAAAGCTACATAGAACCAAAAAAAGACTTAACTTTGTGTTTTGATATTGATAGATCATATTAGCCGGTAGAAGATAGCAATAAAACCAAGTAGCAAATTAGACAGTACAGCCACTACTTACATTAGCCTTTTCCTGATCAGGTGTGCGATGGCGGATACTGGAAATACACTTGTGCAAATCTGTTGTCTCTTGGTTATGTGATTTATCAGAAATTTTGGATCCCTGCGTAGAGAACAGTTTAACAAAACGATGAGCCAATGACATCCTGATCACATTTGTAATACGACTAGTGCATCAGTGCAAAATTCATTGTGTTACATTCAGATCAACAAAAACGTGCACTCCACTTGATCTCAAAAATCAGATTTAAAATAGTGTTATCCTTTATACTCCCTCCATTCCCTTATACAAAGCCACAAACTCAAAATACAGGTACCAAGGCAAAATTTAATGATTGCTTTGCAAGTCAACTTTTCTTCTCGTTAACCGGGATTACTAATATGCCCGCATGCATGCAAGGGAGAAATGAGAAGGAAGTAGCAAAATATCATTATGACTACATGAATGCAAGTTTAAACAAGTTGCTACTACGAGAAAACATCATTAAATATTGCCTTGATTACTGTTAGTGGCCTTGTATAGATGCAAAATGTATTTTTCATAGTGGCCTTGTATAAGGGAATGGAGGGAGTAGCAAGTTTTAGACACAACTACCAAATAGTTACGATTTTGTTCAAGATCACAAAGACGGCACCATTGCTAACCAGAATCATCCGGTATGCCAAATAGAACTGCAGGAGAACTTCTTACTCTTGGATACAGGAATAAAACCGACCAAGCTTATACCAATAAAGTCAACTTTTTCTAACACATGCAATCCTGCATGCTAAAACACAGCTAACTGCTGGATGTGAAATTGATCGATGTTATCTAAAGGAAAATAGAATACTATGGCAACAAAGTACTACCTTCGTTCCAAAATCTGTATCCTGTAGTATTATTGTTAGGATAAACCCCCTTTTGCTGTTTCAGTCTTCCAACTACTGCTTTCAGTTTTAACTGGTAGAATTTCTTTCTTCAGGACATTAACTAACTAGTGACTGCATTGTTAACATTAGAAACCTGAACCTAAACTCATCAAATAGTGCGATTGGACTCTGTTGTAAAACTGTCTAGTGGAAAGATGCATGTAATTTTTTTCCCATCACTTTGGCGTTTTGCTGCAGGGCTTTTCATATTTGAACCATCCATGAACTTTACTAACTTCTGCAAAACAACCATACATCTCATACATAAGTTATGCATGGGATGGATGTCTACTATGCATTATATTAGCAGCACGTCAGCATCAGGATATTTTCAAACAACACTTCAGCAGTTAATCTGAACAATATCAAAATGTCCAGATAATGTGAACTAGGGAAGAGGGAGCAAGCAAAGAACCTGACTAGAGTAAAATCTTTTTACATCTGGCCTTATAGAATCCATATCCCCTTCAATGATTTCTGGAATATACCTGGATAACAGCAATTAATTGAGAGATGTATGCAAGAAAAGATTCTTCAGAAACCCTGTTGGTCTGATCATAAGGGCAGAACAGGGCATAAACACATATAAGCAGGTCGGTACAACAAAAGTGATTCTGGTCAGAAATGCAAAATGCCATTGAGAAGTAAAAAACTATGATGTCTCCTAGACTTCAAAATAGAACCATTCTCACAACCATAAATAAGTTTTAGTGGTCTTTGCCTCTTTGGAACTGACAGTCATTTAGGATATTGTATGTCTGGTCAGGCACAGCAAAACAAATAGAGATGTTAACATATGGATGGAACAAACTAGGTAACTACCACCATGAGAATGGCCGGACGCCACAGGGTAGAGGATTGGGTAGTAGACCATAGGTTACATAAGCATTCCCTTAAGAGGACTGACTTGACGCGTAAGTTATAGTCCAAAGAATACAGATTCGTTCTGCATCTCAAATCCTATCTCTTTCCTATCTAAATAACTGTAAAGGGTGTAACAAGTGCTGAAAGCTCCCACACAAGGTGGGGTCTGGGGAAGGGAATTTCTAGACAGCCTTACCCTTGAATAACAATTCTGCAAGGAGGCTGGCTACAGCCCAGGACCTTCAGGCCACAAGTGGAGGGACTCTACCACTGCGCAGGCCCCACCCTTCTACCTCCACTTAGGCGCTTAAACAGCAGCTGGCCTGTGCAGCTTTGCACTGTTGCTGTGTTTTGAGTTCTTTCCTTTTGCCGTGTTCTTAGCTCTTTGTTTTGCTTTATTTTGTTTTCTGCTTTGACGAGTTGTACATTTTGTGCCGCTTCTGCGCCTTCTTCTAATTCAAAAGCAATTTTTTTGCTCAAGTTTGCAGTGTACTAAATGAAGAAGCCCATCCTATTTATTGTTGAGCAATAAACCACCAGTACTGTCAGTTAGCCAATGAAACAGCAGCATACTAGACTATGCTATTCAAAATTTCAGATAATAAAAAGCACATAAAGGGGTATCCCTTTGTTCTAAATATGAAGTTGCATAGCATAAATGGAATCCACGTAGCTGATGTTATGGCGACTTTAGTAACACTCGAAGTACACAGAACAGAGAGAAAATAGTGCCTCGTTCGCAATCCAAACCCAAAGAACTACAACCGGCTGCTACAGAGCCATTTGGGCAAACTCTACCTCCAGCTTGAAAGTACCATTTACCTCTCGTTTCAAGTGAGAAATAAAAAAATAAAATATATAGAAATGCAGCTACTGTAGGTGTTGGCAGTCATTCAACTCCTTAGCATTTGTGATTCACATCTATAACCAACTAATTCAAACCATGGGTGGAATTGCATGAAAATGTTTCACAGTAGTTATGACTTTAATACAAAAGGAGGAAAGAAAGTAGTTAACCTATTCTTGTCCAGGTCATTAGTCATCTGAGACATCTCGTCGAAAATACGATTGGCTCCACCATCAGCACATATTCTCATCTTTGCTGCTCTAAATTGAATTCGAAGAAAGAATTTTAAAGACGCATACCATGAGCAAAATATACAAAGAAGAAATAAGCGAGAGCTAGTTACCTTGAGCCCAGAGGCGAGGCATGAACCGTGGAAGCTGCTGGTTAAGAACAACCAGAGTATAATTGTTTGCTGGAGTCTTGGCAGGCTGATGCAGTTTCGGAAGAAGGAAACTAGAAGAATGCGCCATCACCTCCATACTGCGAATCGTGCGCCACAGCATCTTGTCCTCTTGAAGGTGATCTGTGAAGACAGTCCAAACGAACCAGTTCAGCAGCTAAAATCAGTGATGGGATCAAAAGGGTGTTCATATCTTCAGAACCATTAGTTGTTCTGTCAACCATCTAGCAAACCAGAAGTTTGTCGAAGTGTTCTGCCGATAACATTTACGAATTAATAGCTCATTTATCATCTTTCTTTTATCAAAAAAATTAATAAAAAATTCTTACATTTATCCTCCCCCCACCCCTTCCCCAAAAATACCTGGGGACCTTTCAATAAAAATGTTCTGTTGCATTCCCATTCCTGCCTAAATCTTATCTGCTGGGATCGACCATCAGCTCGCAGCCCACCCAAAAATACTTGGAAAAGAACTTCCGGCAACAAGAGATTCATCCGAAATTCAGTCCCTGGTAACAAATTCCGGCGGATTTCAGAGAAAAATACTGGAAACTGAACGGATCTGCACAGGCGGGATTTCGGATGACCCCCTCGTTCGTTCTTGACCCAGAAATCGACCCAACTCCTGGGCCAGATTGATCTGCCTAACATCTATCAACATTCCCGTCGGCCAACCCAGCAACTACTACAAGATTTACTTCGGGCCGACCAAATGGCGAGGCGAACGCAGTACCGCACGAAGAACTCACCTCGGATTACGCGCGCGTCGAGGAGGGATTGAAGGATGCCAATTCGCCGGCCTCGCCGCAAGGGAAAGAACAGAGGCCTTAAAATAGGAAATGCCACTGATTTTCGTATTGCAAGGAATATGCCAAAGCCGTTTTTCCAGCTAAAAAAGGAATGCGCCAACGCATGTAGTGTCGGCGTCACCAGCCGCATTATAGTAGCCGCTGCCTGGATGTGCGGTGGTGGTTCACCTGGGCTCGGCTCATGGACCCGCGCTGCCGCGCAAAAGATATACTCGCACTCTTCGTGATATGTTTTATTTTATTTTTAAATCGGATGTATGTAGACATGTTTGAGTGTATCTCTTCAGGGAAGGCGTTTTTACTCCCGGGAGCATTTGCTCCTGTGTGAACAGTAACCAAAAATATATGTTAAATGTTTTGAAAAAATCTGATGTTTTTTATGTTTATATTAGTGTCGCAAACTTCTTAACATTTTTCATGCAAAATAGAGCAGTGTTTTGTCGGTGAAAAAATAAATTTGGGATGACATGCGGGGTAATATTTAGTGTTCATTTTTTCTTCTTTTTGCACATGCCAAAATGAACATTTAGATGCAACTATGAACGTGAAGATTTTTTGTTGGATTTTTTTGACGTTTAAAAAATATTTTTAGCGTGCAGAAGCACGTGCACCCGGGAGCCAAATTTGATTTCCGGTCTCTCCACTCATTTCAGACTATATGTAGTATATGTTAAAATATCAAAATATTATTTGTGAAAATGAACGGAGGGATTATCATGTTCCACTGAGAGTAATTTACAAAAAAAAAGTCACCACTCGTGGGGCTTAATTACGAGACATAGCATTATTTGGTCAATTCCTGTTAACTCAAATTAAAAAAATAAACAGACTTGCGAAGAAAAAGGATACTCCCTCCGGATAACGAAAGACGTCAAAAGGTGATACAGATGGATATAATTTAGAGATATCATCGAAGACGACGGAGACACGTTGGTTTACCCGGTTTTCGGCATTTCCATGGTAATAGTCCTACGTGTTGGTTATAAAAGTATATTAGCAAACATGCTTGTGCGTTACAACGAGAAAGAAAAAATCATCCCTCTTGCACACACCCGACGCACTCGACGACATTAGCAAATTCCTTTAAATCTTTCACAGTACTACATGACAAACAACATGATAAATGGTGTTGTGCAGCAAAATAAGTATGAGATGTTTCTTTTTTGAAATGTACTCAAGTCGTTCTCAATTTATTAGACAAAAGAAATATCTATCTAGTTGCCACTACCTGTTTACGCCTTTTTGTCGTACTCCTCAGTGATGCTCAACAAATATTGCATTATGATGAAAAGAGCAAAGTACATTTTCAAAATCAC